CTGAAGTGCGCCCCCCCCGTCAGGTCCAGCGGCGCGTAGTGGCCGCCGGCCCAGAGGCTCAGCATGTTGTCCAGCTGCTCGCAGAGGGTCTGGGCGCGCCCGAAGAGCTCGACGTCCACGACGCCCGGATTTCTCAGAGGGCCGGAAGCGTCGACCCTCGTCCGGAGGAGGAGGAGGAGGAGGAGGAGGCGGAGGAGGAGGAGGAGGAGGAGGAGGAGAAGGAGGAGGAGGAGGAGGCGGAGGAGGAGGAGGAGGAGGAGGAGGAGGAGGAGGAGAAGGGACCCCCCCCAGCCCAAAGGGCGAGGAGGGATGCGGTAGAAGAGGGGAAGAGGAACGAAGTGCGATGCGCTCGATTTGGGCATCCAGTAGGGCCCTCGTCACCATGGCTGGATCCGCTTCGAGATTCCGGTCAGGGCAAGACCCGGAGGTCCCGAGAATGAGGAAAAATAGCAAGACGAGAAGAGAGGATGAGTGGGCGGATGGAGGAGGAGGAAGAGGAGGACGAGCAAGAAGAGGATGAGGGAAAAGGAGACGACGTTCTCGTGAAGGTCCGCTCGAGCGCCGACCTCAAACTCGAGCCAACGCTGATGCATCGGCCGAGGGAGAGTGGGCTCCTGCTGGGTGGCGCTGGCGTCAGTTTTTCGGGCCTCCCGTGGGGCAGCGACGCCCCTTTTTGCCATTTCCGCCACGAGCAGAACCCACAAGATGGCGCCCGACGCGCACGAAAAGAAGAGCGACCCAGGCGCAGCAGCGGGAGACCTCACCGCCAGCCTGCTCCTTTCAGGCAGCTTGGGAGTGCCACAGACACGTCTGCCACAGCAAGCGCGCAGGCAGAAGGTTTGTTCCCTGGGAAAACGCCCGCCACCTGGCGGTGGCCAATGGGGGCAACCTCGACCTCGACCAATGGCGGGACGCCAAAGGGAGGGTCGGCACCTCAACCGTGGTGCGCGGTGTAAGGCAGAAGGCGCCACAATATGATTTCAGCGAGAGGCGAGAGACACAGAGAGCAGGCAAGAGGGGACAAGAAAGTCAGGAGAGCAAGCGAACAATGAGCCAGCGAAGCTACAGTAAGACAGAGATGGCGGCGCCTGGAGAGAAGAAACATACCCTTCTGCAAGGCAACCGCAGGAGACTACAATACTAGACAAGAAAGCACATCAGACGACCGGTCCGTCACAACACACGCTGCCATTCGGATGGTTATCGCTCAGGCGTAGCTCATCGGCTTCCGTTGAGCAGATGCTTTGGATTCGTGATACACGTGAAATACAATCGACGTCGTTTCCAAGCACCCGGGCCACGACACTTCCGAGCCCTCCACCCTGCGCCCAACGGTCCCAAACCCGATCACAGTATCGGGCCCGACGGAGACTCACACCTCCTCAACACTGCATGCATTGCCATGTGGTGGCGCAAACGTGGGCAGCGAAGGCAACACATTGGCGATCTCGTCTGGGGCTGAGCATCCCCACGCACGCCGATGCTTTTTGAGGCCTACGTGCATGCCTTGTGAGTTGGTTCATGCACCCGCCAGGGTTTTGAGAGCGTTCCATTCCAGCTAGGCTTCAGTGCATGCAGGGTTTCCGTGCGAGCTCCCACCGGCCCACCGCCCTCCGAAGCCCACCTCGAGCGCGGCCTCTCGCCGTGTATCTCAGCTGGGTTGGAGTGCTCCCTCGCACCCCTATCTGCAGCGAGCCACATATCTACTCGTGCGCCTCGAGGGGGGGGGAAGACGCGCGCGCTCGAGGAATTGAGCTACATGGTAGGGGCGCTTCTATTACGCTGCTGAGTACATGCCAAGCTGGAAACGTAATTACTCCCGCGGCGCGGTCTCCCGCGTCTTGCCTGACGGATCGCACTGCAGCTAGCCGAAGGACGTCCGCCAAGCACTCGCCCAAGCCAACATGTTGACTGGGTTGTGGGCGTTGCTCATATACGTTCGTGCACATCAGAACGACAGAAGCTATTCGACGGGAGTCTGATCAACCTGCGCAGAGCCAGGTGCCCGAGCTTCCGAAGCAAAACTGGCACGGAAAAAGGTTGAGCGAGGTGAGGCAATGTGGACGGGGCGAAGGATTGCAAAAAACCCGAAGGATTGCAAACAAAAAACAAGGATTGCAAAAGAAGGATTGCAAAAAACCTAGGATTGCAGGATTGCAAAAAAACCTTCGTACGAAGGATTGCAATCCTTCGTACGAGATAGCAGATACACCCGGCGCAACGTTCATTCAACGGGAGGGCCCAGGCACGGGCCCACCAGAGTTCGGTCGCGGGCCCCTGCGTCAATCCGAGGGATTGCAAAAAAAACCCAGGATTGCAAAAAAACTAAGGATTGCAAAAAAAACCCAGGGTTTTTTTGCAATCCTTCGTTTTTTTGCAATCCTTCGTTTTTTTGCAATCCTTCGGGTTATTTTGCAATCACCTCATCGTGCGCGCCGCAATTTTCAAATCTTGCCCGGCGGGCAAGCGGCGCCTTCATTCACCCCAGATCTGTTCGACAGCTGTGTCTGCGCACTCCGTCCAGAGAGAGGCTCGCGCACCGTGCTCTGAAGCATCCCGAGCGAATGCAGCGACGCTTCCTGGAAGACTGCCGCGGGCTCGAGCAAATCCTGAAACCGAGGCATCACCGTCCAAACGTCGTAGGCGCACCCCAGAACAACCTTTGCGGTGCCTCGCCTGCGGTCTGAGGGCGGCTGCCTTGATTGAAGGGGCCCAGAGACACGCAAATAAATACACTCCAAAAAAATATCCCCCATATGTTCGCATAGTTTCTGGGTCATTGTCTTCCCCCCCACTTCCCATGTTTTCCCATATTCTCCTGGGAATCGACGATGAATGTTGTCTGTGTGTTTCTTTCCCTCCTGATTGATCCAGCTCGCAACAGTGGGGCCCGCGGCCAAAGCCCACGAGGCGCCCGAGAGCGGGCGCCCCTGGAGAGACCCAGAGCACAGGTGCAAGGAGAAGAGGCCATCTCATTTTGGAATGCGCGCAAAGGCCCCCAGGAAGTACAAAGCACTTGCGCCATGCGGCTCCCGTCGTACCGAACAAGGACCACAACACGAACAGAAGTTCGAGCACCCAAGGAAGTGCCGAGACGCTGCCTGCCTGGCGCGCTGGCGAAGTGTGGAAAAAACATCGCCTCCCAGGGCCCGACGCGTGAAGACCATCCAGCTTCGGCACTTCCCTGGTGCTCAAAATGTTGCTCCAGCGGCTCAAGCTAAAACAGGCTGGGGCGTCACAACTCCAATGACATGCGCGTAAACCTAGGGGGGGCGCGAACCAGCAGACCAATCTGGCAGAGCCATCGTTGGCCCGAGCAGCGAACGCGACCTCAACATCGCATGCTACGAAGAGGAAGGGAGGGGCCGTCACTGGCATTATCGTTGATGCTCGCCTTCCGCGACACTGCCCCTCGGTTCGCGACTTTGGCAAGGGAGCTTCTGTTTGAAAACCATCCGTCCTCTCGTGGGCCGTTGTTCTGAGCTGCCTGTTCGCTGCGCTAGCATTTTTTTTGTGTCTGCGTTCCGAAGCGGAAGTGGCCGACCCCCCGCCCCGCGCGCGCGACGCCTGGCGTCTTCTGCGTCGGCGCCCTTCGGGAGGGTCGCGAAGAGGCTGTCACTTAACTCCAGAACGGCAGGGCGTTCCGCAAAAAAGAATGGCACCAGTGCTCGCGCAAGGCCGAGATCTGTTCGGGGGCGCCCTCCCAGGCTGAGTGGCCGGGATAATCGGGCCCAGGTGGGGGTCTGCAGGCGTGCGCCAAGGCCCCGTAGAAAACTTGTTCAGATAGGCAGCTGCAGGGGCAGGGCGGGGCGCGCGTCGGGGTGGCTGGGTGGGCGGGGGGGGGGGCGTGATCCATGGCGTCGCGCAGGCGCGCGTCGCCCGCGCGCCCACTCCAGAAATCGCCCCGCAGCGCACGCGAAGGGCAGCCGACGTCTGCGCGGGGCCTCCTGCAGGGTGCGCATCGGCACGAAGGCCTTCGGGACAGGCCCCGGCGAGGACAAACCTACGACCCCGCGGGGCCCGCAGCGAGACCCTCCTTTTCGATGGATTCCGGAAGCTCTGAATTCGCAATGCGCTGCCATGCCCTGCCCCCGAGAAACCGATTGGGAAGCCCTGCCTCGAGCAGTCCTGGCCTTCTTCTGGAAGAACTCGTAGCTCCAGGTGTGAATCTGCTGCCTGAAGGCGTCGGGGTCGGCGATGATGACCGCGCCCCTCTCGACGCGCGCGAATTTGGCGCCGTTCTCGGCCGTGGCTTTCGTTTCCTCCTGCCTCGCGCGGACGCGCAGCATGATGGCGATGGGGGCGTCGTCGCTCAACCTCACACCTGACGCAGTCGCAGGATCCATGTCCACTTCCACATCTGCATCCAATTTAAATCCAGGTGACGATGAAATAAATGCTCTGTCCGACGCCGCCGCCGTCTGTGTGCTCCTTCTATAAATGCGTCAGGCATTCTGGCGTGATTTCTGTCGTGGCCGCAAGCATGAATCCCACCAGCCCTCTGGGCGTCGGTGGTTTAGGGCGTTTCCTCTTCCACCCCTCCCTCTTCCCCTTCGGGGAGGGGTTTACCCCTCCCCCTACCCCCTCCCCGCTGACCTGGACGGGGGGGGGCCCGAGCGGTCAGAGCGTCCAAAACGGCCTCGGCGAGGAAGCCAAAACCATTGATTTTACCATGGTTTTGGCCCCATTTTGGCCTTCTGAAGGGGGCAGCGCTAACTAAAGCTCCCCTCTTCTTTGATCGATTTCCTCTACGATGGCCGCAAGAGGCCCCCAGGATGCCCCAAGAGGCCGCAGGATGGCCCCAAGATGGCCCCAAGAGGCCCCCCAAGAGGCCCCCAGGAGGCCCCCAAGAGACCCCCAAGAGGCCCCAAGAGATCCCCCAGAGGCACCCAAGGGGCAAAGATGGCCCCAAGAAGCGCCCAGGAGGCCCCCAAAGGCCCCAAGATGGCCCCAAGAGGCCCCAAGAGGCCCCCAAGAGGCCCCAAAGAGGATCCCGAACGGCCCACAGAGCCCCCCCCGAGGCACCCAAGACGCCGAAAAGCCCCTCAGGACGACCCTCTACTCGCCTGGGCGTCGTTTTTGGACGGGCTGGTGGGGATACGCGAAGCGTCTAGAATTCCCCACCTCGTTGTAGTGGTTGAAACGTGAAAGTCAGGTCTGAGCTGGACGAGCTGGGTCTCGTTGACGGGGCCGGTGTAGCTTTCAGTCTAGCCACTCTTGATGTCGAAATCTCACGCTGCAGTCGAACCCGATTCATAAGATCCGCACCGCTGCATCAGCCCAAGCATCTCCCGTTTTCCGGTGCATCGTTTCAGAAACGTCGACGTTGTGCACGCTGAAGATGCGGATCGCGTGCCTGTCCTTCTCGGTGGGAAAACTCAATGGTGGCGCTTTCAGTCCAGCCACCCTTGATGTCGAAATCTCACGCTGCTATCAGAACCCGATTCATAAAATCCTCACCACTCCGTCAGCCCCAGCATCTCCCTTTTTTTTCTGGTGCGTCGCTTCAGAAATGTCGGCGTTGTGCATGTTCAAGACGCGGATCGCGTAGCAGTCCTTCTCGCCGGGAAAACTTCATGGTGGCGCTGTCCCAGGCGCTAACTTTGCATGCTGGAACAACAACCGATCATCTTCCCTATCGGTACCTGCCCCAGAGGAAGAAGCCGAACGACTCGACGAAGCGCGATCTTCACCAGAGGAGGAGGAAGAGCTGCCTGACGTCCTGCAAGTACTTGGCCCCCTAGCGTTGGTGGTGGTTTTGGTCCATCAAGAATCAGACAAACAATCCCATGAGACGCTGCAGAGCGGCTCAAGTCGTAAATGTTCAAGGTTCAAGGATACGCGATCGCCGCCACAACTGTTTTCAAGATGCCCTCCTGTCCTCTGCGTTCTCGAATCAGGATCACCGCCCGCATTCCCATGGATGGGGCCGGCTTCGTTGCACCAGTTTGCCTCTGGTGGGACTCGTAGTGCAAGAGACTCAGAACGTGCCAGTTGATGAGGATCCCACTCTTGAGCCTCATTTGGCTCGCCCATCTTTGGACGCCCGCAATGGGTACGGAAAACATGGGTACAATTCCCAACAACAAATGTTGTCCCAAACCAACAGCGGCCGCTGTTGGGCACGCGGCCTTCTGTCTCGAATGGACACAAGCCGCGGCGGCGTGGACAGCGAATCTGGTTTAAAATGAACAGGAACTGCTGTTAGGCATTGTACCCACTCTTTTTGTGCGTCCAGACCATCGGCCCCATCGCGCCTTGGACTCTTGTCCTCGTTGACGCACGCGGGCGCGTTGGCAACCCTTGGCGCCGAGGGCCCCGACGGGCCGCGCGCGGAACCCATGGAGAGCGCCCCGGGTCCGAGTCTGGGGCTATCTCGCGCGGAGGACCCGCCGCGCCGCCCTCTGCCCCCGGAAGACCCGCGCGCGGCCTGGCCGCTGCGGGCTATCTCCGAGCACCGTCGTCGCGCTACCTGAATCGGGTCGGGCGAAAGGGGGGGCTAGCAAAGGGGGGGTTTGAGAATCAGCTCACGTAGCTGATTTTCCCGGCGCCTCCCGGCGCCGGAGGCGACTGTGTATCGAGGACTGTGCCCCTCGGCGGGGCCGAAACCAGCCGCATGCAGCAAATGTTGTGACCCCCCCTTTCCCAATCCCCCCATTTCAGGGGAGCCAAGAATCGAATCGATAAGTCGGATCGGTGATCGAAATGAATCGGATCGGCGGAAGTCGGCGGCCGAGTCGAGAAAAGTCGAATCGGCGGAGATCGGCAAGCTAGTTAGCCTCCAATAAAAAAACGGAGCCCAAATCGGAACCCCAAGTCGAATCGAATCGAAATCGGAAGCCATCGAAATCGAATCGGCTCGAATCGGAGGCATCGAAACAAGCCCTGCCCTTTCGTCCGACCCGACAGAAGGAGCGCTGGGCAAGGAACGAAGGGGCTTCTCTGGCCGCGGCGGGCCTCGGCCCCACGAGTAGGGTCCCCGGCCTGGATCTCTGAGGAGCAGTCCGCAAGCCGGGGCCCCTTCCTGAGCCTACGAAAGTGGTCCCGATGGCAGCGTCTTGACTGCATCTAGACATGTTAGGGGGCCACATGCGAACCCTACCCCTACCCCCCCAGATTTCTGAGGGGGAGGGTGGGGTTCACTTCGTCCGGGAGCTCCCGAGTGAAGTGAACCCCACCCTCCCCCTCAGAAATCGTGGGGGGTAGGGGTAGGGTTCGCATGTGGCCCCCTAACATGGTCCACAGGGATGCTGGAATCAATGGTCCCATTCGGCAGCGCACGCTTGATGTACGAAGGCGCCATCGCCCTGGCCGCTCCCATGCGGAGCAACGTCGGGTCTGGTGTGCGCTCCCGCTCGGCCATGGCCTGGATGTCCAAAGGACTCGTGGCCTCCGCGATGGCGCGGGAGTCTTTGATCTGGGCGACCTGGGCTCGCATCTGAACATATTCAACTTTGGAGCACGGTCTTGAAGCTGTCGGATGGGCATGTCGTGCAGTGCCAAAGGGTTTGCGTTCTGTTTGCTGGACGATGAAGAATCATTTCTTTGCACCTGCGCTTGCGATGTCAGGCCCAGTTTCTCGAAAGGTCGCCCGCCGTCTTCTGTGACACGTTCGCTGCTGCTTCCAACTGGGATCAGCCAGCCAATGCTCTAGATCTGCCAGGTTCGACGCAGGGTCTTTCATTGAGGGATAAAAAAACGACCCTACCCTGGGTTACAAGTGCGTGGTCTGTAAACCTCCTGGGAAACCTCCTGGGTTACAAATGCGGGGTCTGTAAACCCTCCGTGATGAGCCGCCAGGGCGCGGCACATCACGCAGGGTTTACTCTGTCAGCCCACAGGAGTTTCAGCGCACGGCGCCGCAGGGCAGGGGCGTTTTTATGGACTTGATTTTATGAAAACGGCCAGCTCCGGGAAGGGGTGTGCTGCTCGGTGTTGTAGCCGTTCTATCCGCCGCCGCGGGTTCCTGCCGCGCCTCCGCTGGTCGCCACTCGCCCATGACTGGCCATCGCTCGGACGTCCATTCCGTGTTTTTTTGTCGGTTTCGTACGTGGGTTTTTCGCGAAATGATCAAGGATGTTCCTCGATGGTCCTCGCCGAAGGAAAAATGCACACGTCCGAGCGATGCCAAGATGAAGTGCGGCGGGTGCTGCTTGCCAGGGATCACGGGGAGGCCGAAGCTCAGCGCCTGCATGCGCGGCCGCCGATCTGAAAGAAGGGCAGCGACGTGACGCGCGTCCTTCCCCACCAACGCGTTCTCGATTGATCCCTCTCTCCCTATCTCGCTGGCGATCGCGGTGCCTGTTCTCTTGGTCTGCGGCGAGGGCCGGATCGTGGACGATCACTGCGATGACTGTATCCGCTTCTGTTTCTTTGAATGTGCATTGTGCTCTTCTCCTCGTCTTCTGATCCTACGCCCTACGCTTGCTGCCGTCGGATTGGTCTGAGCTGCTGGCATCAATGGTGGCAGCAGGCGGTGTGGTAATCCACTGGCAATGACCATCTCGTGCACAAGATAGCGTCACGACAAATGCAGAGAGAAGTGTGCTGTGAAAGCCGGAAATATTTGCGATATGCGACAAGTCGCCTCCAACCGACAACACTTCACGATCGGAAACGGTATCCCTGCTCGACGGCAGATGCTGGGATATATAATGCCCAGCGCGGCGTGGGACTTCAGTGGATATGGAGTGCCCACGGCGAAGAAGACTTAAGCGCTGGATGAGTCGAATTGTCTGGGAGCCCACCCCGCTGAGACAGTGATTTGAAAGAAGCAGGGGGAGGAGGAGGAAGAGGAGGAGAGGCAGGAGGCAGGAGGCGTACGGAGGATAGGGAGGAATGAGGACATGAGGAGGATGACGAAGACGAGGGCGGAGGCGACAGGGTTTATTACCATAGCAGAAGGAGGGCGCATAGACAGAAGGAGGTGGACCATGAAGAGGAAGTGCATAATGAAGGAGGGAGCGGAGGAAGAATGAGAAGGACCAATAGTAAGAGTGACAAGAGTGCGGGAGCACGTAAAACTCAGCGGGTCTACTACTGCTCTCGCCCTCGCCACCAGGCCTGATCCCTGACGCTGGGTTTAGGTACCCTCCAGGCCTATGGCGAGCTTGGCAGTCCTCTGCGAACTCCACCTGGCGGCCGTCTGGTCCTGGCTCGTGGCAAGCGGCCCCTTGGCGTGGGCTCGTAGGAAAGGCCCCCCATTCCCCCCGTAGGCGAGTGGTCAGCAGCTTCCCCCCCTGAGGATTGTCCACGCCGTAGGGCTCCCACAGATCGATGCTCATCCGGTGGGCGGAGAAGAACAGCCACGTGACGAACAGCGTGGGCAGGAAGCTCCACGCCCCGAAAGCCTGGACGGTCAGCCACGGGTGGCAAAGACAGAAGAGGTACATGATCACCTCCTGGGAATACCAACACTCGGCGGTGGACAAACCTCCCTTTAGTAAACCTCCCCTTAGTGAAAATCGCCTGGGACCGACACCGACGGACCTGGACCCGCACAAATGACAGCCGCAACGCCCCATCGCGAACCGAAAACGGCCAATTCCTTAATCGACGCGTCGGGCTAGGAGGTCTGTCCAACCCCGACACAACAAAAACCGATACCACCACTCCCCGGACCTTTTCCTGGAGTGCGTTGTGACCAGGGCTTCGACGCGAAACCAGCCGTGGCCAAATACAGCCAAAAACCCTAATAAGGACGCGCGGTAAGGACGCAAGACCCTTGGAAACCGAAGTTGGGATTTTTGGGGCGGCGGACGACGAAAACCTCAAGGACGCAAGAGCAAGGAAGAGCGAGGACGCAAGGGCACCCTGGGCAAAGTCGCGCGTCCTCATTCGGGTTTTTGACTGTAGGCGACAGCGACGCAGGGGTGGCGGCATCGGCACCGTGCCCTCCCCGGCTCTCCAGGAGCCGCATGGTGATCGGGAAGGTCATGCCGCTCGCGAGCAGGTGGGCGGCGTGGAAGCTGCTGCGCGCGGCGTCGAAGCTCTTCCTCGATGGACCAACGAGAAGATACCCGAACCCTTTTTTTTCGGAGGGGGCCCAAGCTACAGGGCAGTCTTTTAATACATGGGATTATTAAAACACCTTTTGGTTTAAATGCATGATTAATGTATGAAAAATGTGATGCTAACTCCCTCCACTTTTAATACATGACCCGCACGCGGAGCATGTATGAAAAACGGCAGTGTAGCATGGCCAACAGACGTTCGGGATAAAAAAAAAGTCTTGCCTGCAGATGCATCAGACCAGAAACCGTCCAGAATGATCATCCCTAGTGCGCACAGACTGGGACCTCAGTAAGGCCCCGTCTTCATCCTGTTATGCGGGTTCGGTCGGGCATGTCCTCCAACAGGAGGATGTTGGAGGAAAAATCCGCCGACCCCTTGGGGATCACCAGCGTGTGAGATGCTTCCCCTTCCCAACACCCCTCCCCCCGGAGCCCGGCCCGGTTGATTTGGAGGGGGGGGGCCGCACGGCCCGAGCTCATCACGGGGGTCCAGCCCTTCTCGGACTCCCTGTGGAAGTCCACGACAGCCTCAGTTTTAAAGGGCTTGGGGGGCCCAACCAGCAGCTTCGCCTTAGGCGAAGCCAGCCCCAGCTCGGTTGTGCTGTAGTAACGATAGTCCCAGTAGTAGAGGGCGTGCCATCTTAAACAATAGGAAGATCCTTTTGGTCTCGATGGCAAATAATATGCCTCGCAATTTTGGGCGGCCGGCCGCTTGAGCCGACGCGGCCGCGGGCACACGCTCGCTTTCGTTCCCTGTGTCCCACAGCTCGCTTTAGAGTCGGGGGGAAGGGGACGAAGCGTGAATCCGTCGCCCCTGTACAACAAGCACAGCAGCTAATCTATACAAAAGTGCAGCAAAAGGGCGGGGCCGTAAGGAAGGTGGACCCGCACGCAAGTTGCCTTGCCTGTGCCGTTCTGTACATACAGGTACTCCTATGGCGGCCGCAAAACAAGATGTCCTGCCAACCTGGTAAGGAGTGTGACTCTTTAAGTCATGTTTGAAGGATTGTATACCTCCCATGACCTGTAGGAGCATCTCTCTGTCGATGCTAGCCTTGGTGTGACCATCCGCAGTCATATCGCGGGTGTCGCACCACTCAATACTGCGCACGATTCCACGCTCCATCATCTGCCGTATCCAACTGATGTGTCCTAAAAGGGTACACACTCAGTCGGCTTCTTCAAGCCTTTGCGGGACAAGGAATTTAAAACAGACGCAGCATCTAAAGTCAAAGTGGCCTTGATGCTCAGGCCACACAATTCAAACATGTCTTTCAACTGAGTGGGAGTGAGCGGCACTGCGTGGAGCTCGCGCAGGGTCACAATCGTTGGATAACAATCCTCCAAATTATGGGCAGCTGCTAGTGCGTGCCTCTGCCGAGTAACTCAAGCGGACCTGCAAGCGGTGAGACTTGCAGGACGCATCGCTCAAGTGGACGACGGGCTTACCAGATGGCGCGTTTCCACTCCGTAGCAGGTTTGCCCCGCGAAGGCCATAGCCTTTGACGTCGTCATCGGCGTCTCCACTCAGGCGTCGGCAACCTGAGTCGCTGTGCAGGTCGACCTCGCCCGAAGGGGTCATCGCCTGATGAGCGATCTTCTTGGGGCAGGCCAGCAACTTCCTGGTGATCGCGTTCAGTCGTCGTGCTTGTATATTGGTCGGTTCTTGGGCACGCTGCCGAGATACATAATACGCCATCAACCGCACCCGGGTGATTAATGCATGCGCCAGCGCACCTCTGAGGCCGACGAACATGCCTGCAACCATCTTGGATGCCTGAGCGTCAGCGTCGGCGGCGGTAAGTTCAGGATGTTGCATGGGACGGTGCTGCTTGATGTATTCGTCTTGGTCCAATGTAACGTTGCCGCCCCCAGCCTTGGTGCATCTCACAGCGCATACTGGTGCACGTGTGCTCGTTGAGTTTGCACTTACCAAAGGTGTCCTCTACGCACTTCAAGCACTTGTCAGTGGCGCCCTCAGTGCCGGCCATATTGATTATCAACATGTTTGGCCGTAAGCAAGTTGCTGCTCGTCTCGAACTCCTCGTCGTAGGACGCGGGTCGGAGCCAAACCTTCTGGTGGTCCTTCTGAACTTTAGTGAGAAAGCTCGGGGTGCGTCTTTGGTGCCGGTGCCGGGCTTAAGGCGCTGCTAGCAGTGCTTTGACTCGTCGCAGTGCTCGAATCCTGACAGAGTCCGAAGCACCCTGGCCGATCCAGACGGCACGGTAAAGCACGCCACGCGCTCCTCTTCACCAATTGCTTCAGCAAGTTCCTGGTAGGTCAACCCCTGCTGCCGTGCTCGCGAGTAATCTCTGGCTTAACCGCCGCGCTGTTCCCGAAGAGTTTTCCACGTCGAAGGCTTCGAGGTCCATGAATCCTCGGGGCACCATGCGTAATCTGATGGTACGTCCCATGCCGCCAATCTCGTTCTTCACAAACTTCCATTTGTGCACGTACCTCGGAGTCATGATGTTTGACGCTTTGGGTATGTCTTGCATGTTGAAACACTTGTTGTCGAACCATGTCTTGAGTTCGGTGTAGAGGGCCTTCGATACTTTCTCGGGATTCGCCTGGATGTCAGCCTTCGCGAGGAGGTCGTCTTCCTTGACGACCGCTGCTTGCTTTGCAGCGGCGGTGACGTATACTCGCATAGAGGTCACACGGTCGGCATCTAGTATCATGTGCTGTTGTTCGGACAGGACTACCTTTGACATTTCTGCCATGAAGCACAGTTCGAAATCTTGTCCGTTGTCGTCTGGGTCCAGTCCGTAGCTGCAGTCCCCGACCATGGAGCACAATGGGACGTGATGCGTCTCCTCAGTGTCGGAGTCGTATGGGTGCCCCCACTTAGGCAGGTGCCCCCGCTGTTCTTCAGCTACAGTGATCAGCGCACTATGGTCTGGAACCATCTGCGCGGGCATTGTGAAAAGGTCCCCTAGTGGAGTTGCCTCCAGCAGTTCCTTTTCATCTTGTAATTCCGTATACCGCACTTCCATGACGTGAGATCAGCCTCCGATTCCTCATAAACCGTGGGACGCCGTCCATCCTCATGTGGAAGTTCGGCTTCTGAGGCTTCTCTTGGAAATCCATCCGGCGTCGGTGCATCCGCCAATTCCTCCAACCTTGTCATGTCCTGGTCAATACCTGCTTGAAGTGTGGTGGACTTCCGGCACTGGATGATTCTCGGATGTACTGATCCAGTTATATCATGAATGTTCGGCGCGGTGCCTTCTGCTTCATCGTAGTGAAATCTTGGATTCACGTCGTTGTCACACTGGACCAATGTGCAACTGTCAGCATAAGCAACTGGAGGTAGCTTATGTATACGCTTAGCTAACCTGACCGAAACTACATTCTCAATGCGGACGAAGTTTCTGATAAGGTACTGCAAAGCTAGATGTACATTAGGAGATAGACGGCTTGCGCTCGTCATCTGAAGCGTCCCCTTCTTGGTCGGTGTGTAGCCATATGGCATGGCAGGTCCCCCCGCTGGTAAACTGGCCACGAACGTCAATACTGTCCTCAGCGCAGTGTTGTCGGAGCCAATTTCTCCGGCTACTAGCGCTTCGATGTGTAGCGAATGTCGTGCATCGCCGTATTGTACGTGAACATCGCGATTTCCCACTCGAACGATGACTTGACTCCTGTCTGGATCGTTCCTTACAGCTGGGAATGGGCCACTCCAGCCTCCCCTGTCGTCCTTCGTGGTTGTGGGGCGATGGTAATCAAATAAATTTCCTTCATCGTAGTAATGCTGACCAGTGACAGTTGTCTTAGTGCGTAATGCGCTATTGGTCTTGGCTACTGCTGTAGCCTGTGTGATAGCTTCAACGCATGCCCTGCGCATCGTCTGTTCACGAGAATGATCCAACACTTCCGTCGGCTGTTCGTTGTCCAGAACAGGTAAGTCAGGGAGCATTGCCGGTTGCCGTCCAAACAGAGCGTTGTCTGGAGACACATCTTTGTAGGAGGTGAACGCGCCGGTGGCAAGCAAAGTCTCATGCAGTAGCCGTGTAAACACAAGAGGTATGTCTAACCTGTTGAGCTCAGCTTCCATGACATGAAGTAGATGGCGTGATATGCCATCTGGCTTCGATCGTCGTAGCGCGTTGTCCACGCGCACGTATCCTGAGTTCAATGCCCTTGGCCTTAAGGACTGGTTTCGCAATATCGTTGTTGAGGGCACCCTCTCCGTCGGACTAGAATACCTTTGCAAGTCCAAACTGCATCCAGCACTGATGATTTGCGTCCAGGGTACTGGTCATCGTCTTGTCCGGAATCTCCATTCCAGTAGCATATTGAATGCAACGATCGATGGTTTGAAAGATATTGTGTTCTCTTTATAGAAAAATCAGGTCACATTCCACTTCGTGTAATTTGCCAGGCAGTGCAGTAGATGGCATAACCGCATGCCCAGGATTGCCCCAAGTCCTGCACTCCGGACATGCGTCGCAAACACCTTTAATCAGGTTGAGTCTAACGTTGTCCAGACCTACCTAGGTTACGATGAGTCTCATCCTAGGCTCTCTCGCATGGAACCAACGCAAGTGTAGCTTCCGCAACTCGCGTGTTAGCCGCTTGGGTCAAGGCTTCGTGCATTTTGTAGCGCGATTTGCACGACGAACCGTAACCAGTCTGGAAGTCGTGGTCGCGCAGCAGGGTTACCCGCTGGTGGCGGAGGAGGTGCATCCCCACCTTGCTGTCGGCCACGTCTGAGTCCAACCTGCGGCTGTCGGAGGTGGCCATCCGAACTCCCAGCTCCGCTCGAGGCAGGTTGCCCTGGAGCGGGTTCAGCAGCATGTCTGCATACTGTAACATCGTGGCTGCTCGCGCCCGCTGTAGGTCCAGTTCTAAAGCCGGGTCTTGGTGCTCGTAGCCGCGCAAGTGGTGGTGCGGCTGGTGCCTCGGATGGTGGTGCTGCTGGTTCAGCAGGAGCCGGTGGTGCAGGTCCTGCTGCTGGTTCGGCAGCAGCCGGTGGTGC